CTAGCCCCTAATTCCACCTAGCTGATACTTCTTTTAGGTTTTGTGTTATCTCTGTTCTAGAAAAAGTACCTGAGATCCAAATGACAAAAACTAGCCAGTTCTGAAGGCCTGGGAGACCACTGCAGCACTTCTCACCATGTTAGCAGATGTAGCGTCCTCTAACTCTGGAGTCTTGGGCAAATTTCATCAGAATAGGAAACTTAATGTAAACAAATTGCTTCTTCTGGGTTCTTCCAGCCCAGCAGGCCAGAACAAGTAAATATCTACTAACTCAGCATTCCAGCAACTATTAGAAATACCCACAGAGGTTTCAATCATGCTTACTAATTAAAAATAGGGAAGGGAGTTTCAAGTATTTTGCTAATCAAGAGGTGGTAAAAGAATATGACCTTCCTCAGAGGCAAGGTCTGGCATGATAACCAACGTTTTCCATGACACACGCTAGAAAGCACACAAACTCAATCAGCAAAATGATTTCCTTGCTTTAAGATTCAATACTTCAACAAATAATGACTCACTGATATGTGCTTCAGATATTCCTACACTAAAACTCAAGTTTAAGTCATATCTATAAAATTGTTGCCCCATAAGCTGTCCATGATAGCTTTTTCCCAAAACTGGAGAATGTCTGGTATGTTTGAACTGATGTAAGAAGTCTGGATTCTATATCCACAGTTCAGATTCGGTAGATAAACGTTATGTGAATGTGCTTGTCTCAGTGTTGATTTCAATAATTAAGGACAACTCAGCAATGAAAAGAACTTTGCTGGTTAATTAGCTGAAGAAGCCAAACCTCCATCTTGCTTCCATCACTTTAGTAAAGAGAATGGATGGTTTTGTCAGACAACATCTGAATACAATGATAACAAGTTCGTGTCAGAAATCATTATATATAAAAGAAAAGTCATTAGTATGTACAAGGAGAGAGCTGTATTGGGTGCTCTAATGCCTAAGACAAGGGTATGGAAGTCAGAAAACAGCTTGTAATTGCAGGTTTGGATACAGACTTTCCTTATGGCCTCGGGCTACCTGACATATATTGCCCAAGTTCTCTAGCTATGAAAGGGAGATAGGAATATTCAAAGTCCCTTATACTTTGGTTGGCACTCATGGATTGTTACACAGAGACATGGACCAAGAGACAGATTTCTTTGACCATGAAGGAAGGAAAGGATAAGGTAGGAGAACCCATTCAAAGATGAATGTGACCTGGTACAAGAAGCAAGCAAAACATGGGTTTCATAGAATCATATCACAGAATCATAGATAGGGTTGGAAGGGACTTTACAGGTCACCCAGTTCCAACCTGTCTGCCATGGGCAGGGACACCTCCCACCAGATCAGGCTGCCCAAACCCCTCCCAGCTTGTTCTTGGCCATCTCCAGGGATGGGGCATCCACAGCTTCTCTGGACATCCTGTTTCAGTGCTCCACCACCCTCACACTGAAGATATTCCCTATATCTAATCTATGTCTACTCCCCTTTAGTTTAAAGCCTTAACATTTTATCTTATCACTACACTTGCTAACAGAATCCCTCTCCAGCTTTTCCTGCAGACCCCCATTAGGCACTGGAAGGTCACAATGATGTCCCCCCAGAGCCATCTCTTCTCCAGTCTGAACAGCCCCAGTTCTCTCAGCCTGTCTTCCCAGTAGAGGTGCTCCAGTCCTCTGACTTGCTCCAATAGGTCCACGGAGGCCCCAGAGCTGAGCACAGTACTGCAGGTGAAGTCTGTCAAGGGCAGAACCCTGTCACTGCCCTCACTCTGCTGGTCACATTACTTTTCATGCAGCCCAGAACACTGCTGGCTTTCTGGGCTGCAAGCACACACTGCCAGCTCATGTTGAGCTTCTCATCACCAACACCTCCAAGACCTTCTCGTCAGGACTGCTCTCAATCCATTCTCCACCCATTCTGTATTTACCCTTGGGATTGCTGTGCCGAGGTGCAGGACCTTGCACTTGGCCTTGCTGAACTTGATGAGGTTCACATGGTCACACTCACAAGCCTGTCAAAGCCCGTCTGGATGGCAGCCCTTTCCCTTCCCTGCAGCATCATGCAGCTTGGTGTCATTGGCAATCTTCCTTACAGTCCACTCAATCCCCCCAATAAGCTTGGGAACTGAAGGAAGGGCTTCAGCCAGGCAGATGGGGTGGTGGTGAGCAGGGGGGACAGGGATATAAGCTCTGTTTGTGCTGTAAGGGTTTGCAAAAAGATACACTGGCAAAACCACTAAGGACATCACCAAAGCCAAAGTTGTTTTTTCTCACCTCAAATCAGCACTACATCAATTTGCACCCGTGAAACAGCTGGCTCAGAAACCAAAATAGCTCATTAGTCAAGAGCATATCCCAAGGCTTGAATCATTTTTAGTAAAGGAAAGGGGCTCAGTGTCAGTGAGTTTGACAGGGGACACAAGAAAGGCTAACTGACCTTTACAGAGAATGCCAGCACAGGGAACCAAGGCTTAATCCTCAAAAAGCTCTGAGCTATCGCTCGTGTCAGTGCCAGGAAACTTGTGTCCCTCTGAACAGGCAGACACTTACCAACACAGCATGCAGGTTCAGATGCTATGTGTGCCTTGGTTATTGCATAATGTTATCAAATAGGATTTTGCATTTTGCATTTTTTTTCATGCCCTGGGGAAAAAAAAAGAAAGAAAAAAAAAGCTTCTATTTTTCTCAGGACAGCTCATTCCTTTGATGTAAATATTAACAAATGAACTAATGTTCAATCTGCTATCCCCCTGTATCACCTCTTTCTTGAAGAAAATAAAATGGCAGCTGGGTGCAGTTACTTTCCCTTTTGCCAAACTAGAACACCGCCACTGGAGCACAAATTGGGTAAGCTGAGGAATTGCTAAGCATGGGGTACCTCAGGAAGTAACAGTATAAAGCACAGCACTTACCTTTACCTTGTAAGGATGAGGAGCTCCTGATATTCACAAATCTCCAGGTTTCCTCTAAACCAACTTGATTCCTTGTAAACAATTTTAATTGTCTTGGCAAAACCACTAAGCCTTTATTGGAATGCCTTTGCCTCTTGGCCTATGAGTTCTGTTTCCCTCTTTCCTTTTCTTTTCCAAGAGTTCTTGGCTGCTCTGACACACTGCCAGCATCGCTGGACAGCCGGCCACTGAGGGGGAGCAGCTTCTGCTTTCTGCTCACTGCTACAAATGCCATTGCATTAAGAATTATGGCCATTACAGAGGGTACTATGGTTGTGTGAGTATAAATAGGCACAGCGCTGGTAAAAGACGCTCAAGGATAAATTTGCTGGATTTTGAAAGACCAAAATAACTCCATGCTGTGCACTGAGACCAACTTCTGCTGCTGTGTGCCTGTTGTCACAGCCTTGCCTTCCCCTGAATGGCAAAAAACACAACTTCAAAGCCATGGAGCTCCTTTCTGTCCCTGTGAGGCTGACAAGGTGGGACCTGACAGTAAGTACACTGTGGGTAACAGGATACCAGCACCTGTATCGGTTCCTCTTCTCCAATCCCTGCAGCCACAGAGGCTCAGCAGATCTCACCCTTGAGGGTTTCAGCTGGGTGCTGTGCTCCAGAGGAGATTCATAGGAAGTTCAGGTTGGATATTTGGAAAAATTTCTTCTCAGAAAGAATGGCAAAGCATCAGAACTAGGGAGGAGGTGGAGACCCCGTCCCTGGAGGTGTTGAAAAACCATGGAGATGTGGCACTGAGGGACGTGGAAAGTGGGCACGATGGGATGGGTTGATAGTTGGAGAAGATGATTTTAGAAGTCTTTTCCAATCTTAATGACTCTATGATGTTATGGTTGGTGCAAATGAACTAAAACCTACAAAAGGGTGATCTCACTGAGTAGCAGGAGCATAGCAGAAAGATACAGGCTGAAGCGAGTCGGGTATTTTGCCTGAATGTACCTCACTGAAGTCCATGGTGCCTGGGAAGCGAGGGGACAGAAGGATGAGACAGGTCCAAAACACCCACGTTTTGTTGCAGCAACTGCACCGAGAGCCAGGAGTTTGTTCTGCAGACTAGGCCAGTTAAATGCCAATTTAATCCTGGACTAATGGGTACTAAAGAGTCACAATCCTGCCATGTGACTCCATTGATATTAATTCATCAGGGACAGGGTTGGCTTGGATGATACCTTGGACCAGAATGTGTGATCACAGAAGAATATTCTATCAAAACATAATACTCACACGTTTCTGGTCTTCAGCGAAACTGATGCAGGCTCCCATCTAGAATTCTCTTCAAAGATAAAGCAATGTTTTTGTATTAATAATGGAGTTTGTAAATGCCCTTAACACTTGGATGTTCTTATACACTACAAAGTTACTATTTCACTGCTTTGTTGTTTTCTTTGCTTGTTCTGTTTTAAATTAGAATATCATGTAGAAATCTAAAATTCAGAGCAAATCTGGCTGTTTGCTCTCATGCAGTACCTCTTACTCTCCTGAGTACAATGTTGTTTACTTCGAAAGGAATACGTCAGTGATCTTTGCTGAATATATATATATCTATATCAAGAGACAATTCTTATCCTGTGATAAGAGGTAATATTTAAGATCATTTAAGCAATAGGAGATTCTTGATATTTACACTGAGTTCCTGGATGTTTTACCCAGCTTCCCTGCTTTGCAAGCAAACTTCTGCATGGTGCTGTGTATCAGTTGTCCTATCCCTAAAAAAACCATCTCCTCTGGAGTGTGCTTCAGTCGCAGCAGTTCTGACCATGGAGAGAAGGACTACAATTGAAAAAAGAGTCACAGAATCATTAAGGTTGAAAAAGACCACTAAGATCATCCAGTCCAACCAAATACAGTCCCAGTCACAGCATGCACAAATTAACACAGGAATCAAACCCTGTTGGGAAATCAACTCTCAGAATTGCACCAAAGCCTATTACTTTAACACAGATATGCTCTCAGCAAGTTTTCTCAGATTTCCATGGTCACACAACTTCTGCTGAAAGTTGGGACTTCCTTCAGCCAATAATTCAGATGCAACATCAAGGACTGTTGAAAGAAATGACAGAAAGTGTCAATTACTAATAAGCACAAACAACTCACCCTGTTTAAAGCATAGTTCTTACTGCAGAGTTAAGCTTTGTTCTTTTAGGACTTTACTCCCCAAGATTTCACCATCCATGGAGAGAGGCTCCAGGACATTGTGGCTCCTCCTGGCCAGGCACCAATGGCCGGCGTGTCTCACTTGTAGAGATGCAGGCCAGGAAAAACTGCTTCCAAACAGTAGTCTGCAGAGGATTCAATAGCCCAAAAGGCAGCCCTTCTGAAATAGTGTCAAAATAAAGAATGACAAAAGGTCCAAAACACTGATTAAACCTAAATTACTCTAAATTAAACCTGAACTCCTTACAGTAGCTTTCCTGCAGGAGTGAACTTGCTGAACCAGCAGCTGTGTAACACCACCTGAAGCAGGAGCTGCTCGGGGACAAAGCAAAAGCATTGCAAGAAACTGAGGCCTTCGTAGGGTTTCAGAGTGCACTGGAGGTGTGCCCAGAGCTCCCAGGTCTGGTAGCAAGAGCTGTGAAGATGCAGCAGTGTGTGTGCCAGCCCACCCCAGCAACAGAGTGTTTGCCCAGGGAGCTTATAGACGGCATGTCTGCTGGTGACTAAACCCCTGGCAAGAGCTGCCCTGCACTCTGTGCTGCTATTGTAAGTGCTGCCAGCTGGGTAACACAAGAACACATCGGCTCCCAGCTGCCACAGTTGCTCAAACGGACGTCAGCACAAAGTCAGAGCTCAGGCTACCCAGGGCTCTTGGACAGAGAGCTGTTAGGGGCTCGTGAGGACTTCAAAGAGTGCGACACCAGTATCTTGAGCACTGGGAGGATCTGGACCACCTACTGCAATACATACAGCACACCTACAGGGTGACAGATTAGAATGGAGCAGCAGAGAGCACTGTTTAAGTGCTACTAATCCTCCTGGCCCATGGTCACAGACCTTCCCATTGGCTGCATTCCCTTTGCCACCACTATTACCTTCTACTCTATACTTCCATGGCCTATGGGCCCATTCAAAGGCTGGCTGGCATTTAGGCCATACTACATTCAGTGTTGCACATTTTAAGGCATATGCATCTTATTTCCAGGGGACTTTTCAGATTATATTCAGACATCTACTAAGAATCACAGAAAAAAAATAGGTTGGAAATGATTTCTGATAGGCTCTCATGCAATCTCCTGCTCAATGAATAAGCAGGTTTCTCAAGGCCCGATTTAGCTGAGTTTTGAGTTCATCTAAGGGTAGAAAGTGAACACATTTTCTAGGCAACTTGCTCCACTGCTTGAGAACCCTCACTACAAAGAATTTTCTTCCTTATGTCAATCTGAACTGCCTCCCATTCGGTCCCATGGATCTGTATATGTCCATTTTATGTAAGTCACCCCAGCATGACCATCTGCAGGTAGCATCTTTATCTTCCAGGCTCTGCCTCCTGACACAGATAGCCAGGAACAGACAGACAGTAAAGACTGAGGCAAACAAAATGCTGAGAACCTCTGAATTTTCCATGTTGTTCATCCAGCTCACCTGCCTTGTTCAGCAGTGGATCCACATCTTGGTTTCCCTATCACTGCTAACACACCCGTAGAAACTTCCTGTTGTTTCTCACATCATTACCAGCAGCACCATGTCAAGACATTGTCCTGACCACTCAGGAAATGTGAATTGCTTATGCCCTACTGTTTCCTGCCCAGCAGATGTCATGTTGGTTAATATCTCCTGTAAAAGTCAAGACTTGAAACACTGACACTTATTTCATGTTTCTGGAGGCTTCATCTGTTTTGTCTTTTTGACTAGGTGTTCTGTAGCAAATGCCTACCACAATGTTACCTGTGTTTGCCTTTCCTCTGATCCTGTCCCATAAGCTTCTGACCAGCCCATCACACAGTGCACAGAACTCTATGCATCTGAGCTGCTCCTCCTTGTACAGAGCACAACCACCTCTTACATCTCGCCCTGCTCTTTCCTAAAATGTATAAATCACAGCACTTCAGGGGTGAGAGCTCTTACAGCTTCTGAGTACAAAGGACAAAAGGTAGGTCAATCCCTTGCCTATCCAGGTCTGCAACACCACGTCTCCAAGTCCAATCAATATAGAGATCTGGGCACAGTCTTAAGACGACCTGCTACAAACACCTAAATTAGATGTTGCACCTCCTTCTCTTGATGATTACATTGAAAAAATGCTAATGGCAGCCTTTGGGCAAGTCTTAATCCACAATACCTATACAGTACAGTAAAAACATATCATGCATACTATGCCAGGTTCAGTAGAAGGAATAACTATCCTTTATAACATAGTAAAGACAGATGAACAATGGAAGCCCACTCCAGAGATCTAGTTTCCACAGCAGGACTGCAAATTCAGGAACTGCTGTACTTGCTGAGACACCATCACAGCTGCAGTGCTTGTGTTGGCTTGGTACAGAGGGGGAAAAGTAAGGAGCATCACAGAGGGAACTCTTTGGAAGTCAGACCTTGTTGGGACCAGCAGTCTCAGGAATGTGTGTACAGAAACAATTTGTGATTGTTTCTACTGTATTCAAAGAAAAGGAAAAAAGACTATTTATTGTTTTGTAAATAATGACACCAAGAAATACAATGCATTAATATTATTATATCTCTTCCAAATGGAAGGGCTGTAACAGATGACAGGATAATTACAGCCTGTTCTTTCAAGCTTTCTCACATGAAGATGAGCCAGAGTAAGAATATCTCCACATTCAGTGAATTGCAGTTTGTTTTATTTTTGTTGCAAACTGTAAAAATCTCACCACAAACATTCTGATATAGCCTGAGCCACAGGAACCATAACCGGTGCATGATAATTCCAGTGTGGTTTGCTTGCAAGGTGAAGGTTTTAGTCCCATCCAGTGCAGGAACATATGCCACCACCATTTGGAAGCTTTGCTTAAGAAAATCCAGACTGACAGCTTCCTCTCGTAGTGCAAATCATTGCCTGGTCTCCAGTCTCACCGCTGCTCTCTTTCCCCCAGCATACCTGGAGGTAAAAAGGCATCACAAGCATCACGCCCATCCCCTGGTGAGGAGCAGCCAAGGTGATGGTGCCAGCAATCTGTACAAAGGAGCTGCTATTTCTCCTGGGCTGTCTGGTTGGTAGGTGCAGCTTGGCTTTGAGAGGGAGATGAGCAGCAGAACAAACAGGAGCGATGAGAAGCATCTTCAGAGCTCTGTCAAGGATTCCTGAATCTTTTGTTTAACTGAGAGGGCAAAGGAGATGGAGTAAAATGGTGGACCCCAGGCAGAGGAGGGACACTGGCAGGATCATGAAACAAGATGGTGCCTTTCACCACTGCAGCATCTGTTAAGTCCCTACTTGGCTGGAAGCAACAAAAAGCCATATTACCAAAGGCATATGGAAGCGTTATTCTCCTATGCAGCAAATGTAAGTGCACGAATACATGTCTGAATCCACATAAAAATGGACAAAACCTGTTGTTAGCTGATAAAGTGCTGCTTTTGACTTATCTTTCTTGCAGAGGAAAACGAGAAGGCTCAGACTGCTTTTCCCTGTATATCAGACACCAGCCTCTAACAGAACAAGATGAACCAACAGGACCACAAAGAACTTGCAAGAGCCCCAGGCCCTGCCATGTGGGCTCAGATTGCTAAGCCCTGCAGCACTGCTGCTGTGAGTGCTGCCTTCATGGGTTACTGCCCTGAACCCCTCCAGAATACAGATAGAATGGATGAAGTCTATACTGCTTCTTTCCATACCACAACTACACGCAATGGTCATTCCACGTCTCGGTGGATCTCCCTGCTGCAATGCCACCTCTCTCCCAAGCGCAAAGCCTGAAACCTCTCCGGGCAGGGTTTCCTTCATTAATCATCAGGCAGACGTTTCTTTTTTTTTTTTCCCTCTGTTTCTTTTTCCATCTCCGAGCTGCAAAGTTCCCTGCCAACTTTCTTCTTGGTGTGAATTTCTACAACAGAGCAAAATAACTTCTGAAAATAGACACGTACACTCGAAAGCCTGACACACCCTATATGGAGCCTGTGAGTGGCACAACCATAATCCAAGACATTATCAAGACACAAGGGTATGCTAGCAGCATTTGATTAAAGTTCTGAGCAAGTCAGCCCTAAGAGAAGAAAGTAAATGGGAACTCAGTAAATGCTGCTGCACAGAACCCCTGGCTCTTTTCATCACTCGGAGGCATTTGAATTTGTATTGCTTATGGCAACCCTAGGCTGGGCAGGTTGTTCTGATGCAGCTGGCGTGCTCAGAGTCCCTGTAAAAAAAGAAATTCATGGAAATGGCCAATCTGCCGTGACTTCCTGATAATGACACTGCATGCAAAGCCTATGGGAATAAAAGCCAGCAGTCTCATGATACACTTCTGAGCTCTGCCTGTCATTAACAAGGGTGGGTTTTTCAGAGTGAAATTCTCCCGGGCCAAATAACAGGAGACCGATAAATAAAGCTTGTCAACTGCCCTTTCTGACTCACTCTCTCCTGCTGGAAGGATGACTCACTGTCATGTGTGCAAGGCTGCCAGGTCTTGCTTACATGCTAAAACAGGTATGGGGTGTCTGTGTTAGACATCCATTGCCTCAGAAAAAGCAGAGCTCAGCCCTGAGAAGGTAACCCTGGAAAGGACTCTGCTGACTAAAGGACCTGAACTTCAAAGTATTTCTCAATCCTTTCTAGAAAGTTCAAGGCTGTTGTTAGATGGCCCAAAGCCATCACTGAGGACTTGGCTTACTATCACAGTGTCTTAAAAACAGAACTCACTAGGACCATCGGGTTTTACTCAGAATGTGCCATACAGCATGATACAGATGCAGATAACTGAGACCAAGCCAAGGCCTCCTAAAGCAGAAACTGAAAGACTTCTCCCAACACCATGAGAAGGAAGCTATGAAGTAGACTCCCTTAGCTCCAGGTATTGGCCAACAACTTGCTGCATCATTCAGTAGAGAAACCATGTTGCTGCAGGGCAGTGATAGCACAATTGCCTCTTGCATGTCCAGCCAGCTATGCACCGTCCAGGAGTAGTTTGTGCCACTGGGAGAGAGAGTTGCACGTGCTGTTGCCCAACCAGACTCCCAGGAAACCTGCAACCAAAGCAAATTTGAAGGTCTTGCCACCAATTTTATGATCATAAGAGCACTAACCTGTCTGCCCAATGTGAACGCAAATGTAAAACTTGGAAAGTTAATTCTGAGTAAACTTCACATGAAGATTCCTCTTTGCTAACTCTTTTCACAGTGAGTCATAAATTAGGCTACCAAATTAGGCTACAAAATATTAGAACTAAATGAGAGGTGATGGAAATTTAAAAAGGAGTAAACAATATATCAAAGATTCAAGAGTAAGTTCCTTTAAAAGGACAGTTTAAGGAACTTTAGGCCATAGTAAGTCATGCCTCCTGGTTACTTTGCTAATCCTTTAAAAAAAGAAGTCTGTCATTAAAATCAATGATCATATTCATCTGCAGGTGTCAAAGCCCTTCCCAAAATAAGTTAGTAAAATAATTTCTCAGAAACGGAGAGAAGGCGGTGTTCAGATGAAAGAGGAATAGTGACAGACCAGGAATTACAGTCCAGGTCTTCAGTCTCCCATGCAGATGCTTGTGTATTAAAATACCCCACCTCTGATAAACGATTTTGGCTTTTTAAGCTGCAATTTCAAAATTATT